GACCAGTTTAGATTTTATCATCTCAGATGTACAAGAGAATATGAAAGGTGGCTTTATATTTTTTGTTCTTTGATGGTTTGCTGTCCTTCAACAAGTTTTAATGAGACAAGAATAGAAACTAGGAGCTAGAAAAGACCCTGAGAGATCATCTAGCCCCTTACAATGACATGAAGGCATTCAAGATTAATGGCAAAGGTTTTACTAAAGAATAAATTGGTTTCTAAGCATCCAAATTAGGAAATGCACACATTTGACTACTTCTTCTTTTGTATGGATGACTTGGAGCAACAACTGTAAGTCCAGTTTAAGGTTAATTAACCAGTCTAATGCTTTTAAAGAAAAGGAATGCACCTCTGCAATGTCACCGTCAAATTTGTATAGAGGACAGAGTGTTGTTGTGTGGTCCATAGTTTAATCAGGATTGCCACAGTGACATTTTGCAGAACTCCTTATACACCATTTGTCAAGTGACCACAAAGGCTGTGCCCTGCTTGGATCTCATTTAGAGCCTTTAGGTCATTTGATTGAACTTAGGCAGAGCTGATGATCAAAATTAGAACAGAACTGTAAGCTGCCTTATCTACATGCTGCCAAACTGTATAGGTAATCTGCTTCAGATTTCTACAATAGTAAGGCAAAAGGAATGTTTTTTTGCTAAAAAAGTGGGGGTTTTGCTTTTATTTTGAATTTAGGTATTTATCTCTCACGAAGTTCTCTCTCTGAGTTCACTACAACAGTGTTCCAAATTAAGAATAAGTTCCTTAATTAAACCTTTGCAAGACCATATAATGACCGGGGATCCTGGTTTTCTCCAAGAAAAAATAAATTGCAAATTGTCTGATTAAAACCCCCAAATCCATGATTAAAAAGGAAAGGCCACTATATATATTTGTGTTCAACTGATACCTATATATATATATATATATATATATATATATATATATATATATATATATATATATATATATATATATATATATATATATATATACCAGTGACTCAATCACTATAATAAAATAAATTCTAAATACCTACATATTTTGGCATTTGATTTTGGGTTTTTCATCATGGAAGATTAGAGCTCCTACTGAGGCCACTCTGTACACCCCAGGGAATTATATGAAGAAAAATTCAAAATTACGCACAGAAAAATTCAGAATTATGTAAAATTATCTACTTTTATTATTTATTTTACAAATTAAACTAAATATAACACTACTTGAACCTTATTTAGAAATATATACTGGTACTTTGTACGGTTGGGGGTGGATGTGGGGTGGGTGTGGGGGATTTGTGAAGGTGGGGGTGTGGTTGTGTGTGGGAGGTTGTGAGTGTGCGTATGAGAGTATGTGGGGTTTGTGGGCGGGTGTGGGGTTTGTCAGGGATGATGAAGGGATG